CTACAGTCAATTTAGCACAAGTTAGAATATAATGAAATTGTTCAGAAAAAAACTGAGACTTGTACTACATGATCATCAAACATGAAGGATTCAAATGATAGGGGATCAAAACAGAACCAAAAAACTAGGTGACTTACACAAAGAAAGACACACACACACACACACACACACACACACCAGCTGCACTGATAGGGGAAATGTAACAGACAAAAACCAACCATTACCTTTTTCTTTTCTGATTTGGCTAAGTTCCCAAAGTCAAAGCAATTTGAAAATACACACAAGGAATTTTCTTTGAAAACAAAGATATGTTTCGAAAGCAAGCATTAAACAATAAAGAGAAAAGAAAAATACGTGCCAAACCATTTCAATTCATACATGCCCAAGAAAGATTTAATCCATCTCATTCCTCTCACTCTTCCCACTCCCCCCTGCCAAAACAGGAACCAATAAGACAGGTAGGACAAGAGGCAGCACACATACATACACGCACACATACACATGTATGACAATATCCTTAAAAAATTAAGACAGGTGTACATAGCATAAGGAAAAGATTTTCCCAAAGAGACTTAATTGTAATGCATCTAACTAGAACATTAAGCGATGATATAAAAAGACTAGGTTTAAAAATAAAGATCATTATAGTTCACTGAAAAGTTTTTACATCTCTAATATTTAAATCTCAGAAAGCCTCAAAAAAGTAGTTTTTGCTTTAGTTTTCTGCTCATTTACATGAAATCCCAATCTCAGATACCTTATCCTTCCAATTCTTCCATACCCTCATGAATCTCAAATATTCCAATCCAGCCTCAATCTCTCTCAAACTCCACTGTTTCCTCCCAAATCTACAGTAACGGTTCACCCTTGGGAACTAGATGGCTAGTAGTGTAAGAAGGGAGAGAAAGAAGAGCAGAAGGACAGAATATGGAAATCATATCTCCCCCTAGGTATAGGTGGTATAGCTGAGTGAATGTGTGTGTGTGTACACATGTACACACATAACAAAGAACATGTATATATCTAAGCATGTATATTAAATAAGTCCAAATTATTCTGATTTTCCTCTCCACTGTCTCTCCTAATTTATCATCATACACGAGTTAATAACCTAAAGTAACTTATAGCTCAGGTT